GTTTGCGGGATTTAGTCATAACTTTTTCTAAAACAGCTCAGTTTGGAACCCGCAAGAAGATTTGGGTCCAGTCTGATGAGACGAACCTTTGAGTATACATTTGTATGAACAAATTCTAAAAATAAGAAGTTAGTATCATATGTCTGCCGTACCACCATGGACTACGGGCATAATGTATACTAAAAGATTCGTCTCATCAATGAAGCCATATCTTTTTGCAGTATCCCAATAAAGTTGTTTTAGAAGAAGTTATAACCAAATCCCGCAAATCCCGCCAAGCTCGCAATTTTGGCCGGATTCTACTGATACAGTTGCAGTTGGAACCATTCCAGGTAGGTTCCAGCTGGAGACCATTTGCTCAAATAAGTTGTGAAACTTTTTTGCATACAATTTGACTTCACCGTGACGTTTCCATACGAGCAAAAAATCGTTTCATAATCTTCCCTCTAGACTTTTTATAGCACTTAAAAATTTTTCATTTCAGCGCATTCTGCTCTGATCGCGCGCCCCCAAGCAAGCGAAGTCTACTTGGCCTTGGTTGAGCTTTCTATTTCCTTTATTTCCTTTCATGTTTTTTCTTGTTATACATATCTGTTATCATTTTCAGAGTGAGGAAGGGAGGGGGGGGGGAACGGGGTGGGGAGAGTGGAACAAAAGAAACTGATAAGTGACTAAGGGAGATGGGAACAAATGCTAAACCGGCAAGTTGAGGCTTCTACCATGGTGCAAAACGCTCTGTGCACGATGCGGGAGAGATAATGAAAAAAAAAATTTTGAATTTCTGTTTATTGAATAGTAAAAGCGGGGATTTCCAGTTTTAGACTTTCTACGTATTCTGAGGTGGGGTGACGAGCCCTGTTTTTTGTTACCTTGCTTATTGTATTTCTCTTCGATTTTTGCAAAATTTGCGATTTTACAGCCCTAATTTGTATCAGATCATATCTATCTATTCTCCCTTTCTCTTGCTCAAATAAGAGTTAGGTAAAAGTAATGGGACACTTTCAGAATGATTGTGGCTTTCACAGAAAAGAGAGAGAATCCACTGGACGCTCAAATTTCACCAGGTGTTGAAAAAAATCGTGCTTGTTCAAATAAAACTGCATAAGACCACCTACATTTTTATAACCGCTGAAACGCGAAGCTTCTCCCTTTGAGCAATTATGAAATTTGAGCAGTATCTACGCTTTAAAAACGTGCTCCTTTCAAAGTATCGATGCTGCATTAGGGTACTTTTCGGATTCCGTCTAAAAAAGCTTTTAGGCTCAATCCATCCATGTGCCTCAATTGTCCTTCAAATAAATGCCAAACATGACATTTTGGGTTCTACTGCGCCAAAAAAATGGCATTTTCTTAAATTCTTGCTTTTTCTATTCTTAGAATCAAAACACATATATTAGCTGGTGTCCCAAAAAATGTGCCTACTTTTTTAAGAGAAGCTCTAGGCACTATTTTCAGAGCTGGCTTCAACTTAGATTGAAGTAGCGAAGAACCGATCTCTCATTCCTACTGTAGGATTACGGTAGAAACTTTAAAGAGAGTTCTAAATTAAAAGTCACATTTTGCTTCAAAAAGGAAACCAGACAAACCAGAAACTCTTATACTACGTTAATAAAGATCATCAATCTCAAATATGGAATTTGCAGTTTACAAACATGCTTCTTCCATAAGTTATTCCAAGTGAATCACGACAGCAGCTTTTCCAAAATTTTTCAAAAATGTATTCACACCACTGAAAAAGGTTTGAAAATTCCTTGCTCAGCGAGTTCGCCCTGATGCAGCGCACCGCAAGAGACATCCCAGAAACTTGCTCCGATTTGATTTGGAGGCAATAGCGTAGCGCGTTACCAGGATGGTAGGCGAAGTATATTTATACAATACCGCTCACAGAATGTGCAAAATTTCTGTGAATGTCGCCGATTTCCGGGAATTCTACGAAAGTCTGCAACATCCGGGAGTTCGCAGAATCACGCGAATCACGCAAACCACGCAGCGCTATGAATTCCTTCGGAATGAATATATTCTGTATCCGGAAGCAGCATTGTGCATGAGGAGGAAGTTATGGCGCTGCGTAGTTTGCGTGATTCGCGTGATTCGCGTGATTCCGCGAAACTTCCGGAATGTTGCAGACTTCCGCAGAATTCCCGGAATCCCGCGGCATTCACGGAACTTTTGCACATTCTGTGAGCGGTATTGTATAAGTGATTTCACTTACCGCCTGACTGAAGATCGAAGCAAAAGTTCCAGAATCTAGAAAAAAATTGAGTGGGTACCATTACTTACCGCTCACCCTAATATTAGGTTGGAAACTAAGTTTTGCAACTGGTCTCATAACTTCCCTCTCACTCAACATGGCGCACTCAAATTTTGCCACTGCGTTGGCTATTACGTAAGCTACAAGTGCAGCTGCCGTACTGCCAAATTCTGACGTCGCAGTGAGGGTTACGGTAGGTGCATGGTATGAAGGAGAAAAATTTAAGGTTTGACGAATTTGGCTGAAACTTGGCATAGGGGTGTTATCCGACATACTGATCACGAAAACGATAGTGAAATTGCGTGATAAGGGCTTTTTTGTAGGATTACTGTAGGTGTACCTTATGGGGTCTCACCCTAAACAAGAAAAAAGGCGTTGATTCAACAATTGAATATGATATTCGCGTTCGGCAGGTCAAATAACCTTACTATGTGAAGTCTCGGCGGAATTTGAGCTTCGGACTCTTTAGTCATTGACGGTCGTCCCCAGCAGCTCTTGCGTACATCGACTCGTTCGACTTTATGAGGACATCAAATCTAGACATGCACCTAAATTTTGTTTCTTTCTCAATAGACCAAAGGAGTCAACCTCCAGCAATAATTTGTAGACGAATCCGGATTACTGCGCATGGTCTGGGCTACCAAAGGCTTCATTTTAGCTTGAAACCCCAAAAATTGTCAAATTTCACTAGTTTTCGAAAAACGCCTGTAACTTTTCTATTTTGCGTTCAAAATTTAGACAATTTGTGCTCACTTGTAGCTCACACAACCTTCTATATAATGCCAAAGTTTGAGTGCGCTATATCCAAAGAGAGCGAAGTTATGGAACCAGTTGCAAAACTCAGTTTCCAGCCTAATAGTTTACAATCAGGGAATTAACAACTTCTACCCAATTTGAATGGCTAGAAGCACGTAAAATTCACTAAAATACTTCGTTTTATTTCGTTTTTAATTGTTTTTCATTCTGCTTGTGTTTCCGTGAGATTTCTTGCAAATCTTGTGAAATTTCTGATTTTATAGCCATTATCTCAGGTATTAAACTGCTTCTTCGATTTATTTTAGCCGAAAGGTTTATATTTTGAAAATTTCGCGGTTGCTTTTTTAACTCCATGCCAAATCCTATAGTAAATCGTAAAATAGACTAAAATCCTATCTTATCCCACTTTATTTTTGATTTTTATTTTCTTGCTTGTTCTTTTGGCTGTTTTTCCAGTCCTGCAATATCTTCAGATTCAATAGTTTACATTTGAACAGATTATTTCATTCGTCAAGGAACATAATTAGACCACATTTCAGAAAATTGCCTCCACTTCTTTGGCTCTAAGCCAAATCAACTATGTCTTTTCAAAAATTCGTAGAATTGACTAGAATCCTACGATCACGTTCGAGAACATTCCTTACACATGCTTTGCTAATGATTAGCTACGGATTCACGGTAAGCTCTAAATGGCTTCTCAATCTATTTTATTGAGCAAAGAGATAATCCAGCTTAAGTAGAATTAGTGTTGGAAATTGAGAATATAAACAATGAAAAAAGTAAAGAAGGCTTTCAAGTTAATTGTGCAAGCTTTAATGGTGTAGATAAAGATGTTTTCAAACTGAAGTCAGATTATGCTAAAAAAAAATTAATTTTCTGGAGTTTTTTTTTATTTCAGATTACCTTCGTATCGTTGAGTCACTCGTGGACCGAATGTCGAACGCAAATTCCTAATGGTCAGCTATTTTGGATGTATTTCGCGTTTGGCTCTGCAATTTTTATCGGCTCTATTGTTACATCGTACTTAGTCGAGAAGTGGGTCCTGAGCAGATTGCTGCATGTTTCATTCAACGAGAAATTAGAAAAAGAATTCTTCGTTTTGTTTTATATAACGATAACTGGAATTAAGAAAAGTCTAATTCCATGTGCCACAAAAAAAGGTGTGGAGAAATTTCTACTCCTTTTTCTACTCATTTCATTGAAAATTTAATAATATTCTTACTCCTAATCTTCTGTTTTATCTTGAAAAATAATTCCAACAGTTTTTTGTGTTATGTTGATAGAAGAAGGATAAATTCCCTTTTTTCAAATCAGTAAGTTGAAAACGTTCTCTGTAATGTTATAGAAATTGCAAAACTTCACCTTTTTTTATTTTTATGCCAAAGATTGTTTGGATTGGTTCCTAATTTTTGTTCAGTTTTGCTACTATAAGAATGGAAAAATTAATAAAATCTGCGTTTCGCTTCATGTCAAAGTGTCACTAAAGAATTTAGAAAAAATTGCATTCTTTGTCCTGCATGTCAATAAATGGGAAAAATCTTACTCCTTGTTCTCCTTTCATATCAACAATAACTAGAAAAACCCTACGTTTTGTTTTATATTACTGGAATTTGATACAATCTGAATAATCAAAAATTACCTTGTTTATCTTTATAAATATAAAGCAGAAAATCTGTGAGTTTGTTTGTGCACACTCGGGTGCAGGTTAAGCAGGTTGTGCAGGGTGTGCAGGGTGTGCAGGATGTGCAGGGTGTGCACGGTGTGTAGGGTGTTCACGGTTTGGAGGGTGTGCAGGGTGTGCAGGGTATGCAGGTTGTGCAGGTTCTGCAGGGTGTGCAGGATGTGCAGGGTGTGCAGGGTGGAGAGGGGTAAGTGAACATGCTGATTCGAACACATTATTGACACGACCGGGCGGAGCCGGGTTTGCCAGCTCGTTATTTATATTTTCATTTTTTTATTTTTCAGTCTATTATTTCTCTAATGCTTTTTCCAGGTCAGAAATCCATCGCATTCAGCTTTGTTGTCTGATCATCATTAGCGCTGCACTATGGGGCCTCCTGCTATTGAGCGACATGCTCGTGATTACGGTAGTTCTACTTATGACCGGACTAAGTATAGGAATTATTGCCTGTTCGATACCGTACACTTTCATCATAGCCTTTCACGAGGAATACTTTGGAATGATTCATGTAAGATTTACCAGCAGTAATTTTTTTCATATCTGGAGAACAAAGAGATTATTCATAACAAAATAACTTGAGGTCAAACTTATGAAATTCAATTTCTAACCATAAAATCACCGCCGCCACTATCTTAGGCCTTTCATTGCACTTCTAGCAATGCCCCAATTTCTTGCACTTTCATAAAAGTTCTTCTAGGTGGCCATTGTGTAAGCGCAAGATTGCTTCAGTTATATTGATCCTTTGGGAGATATTCTCTTGATTCGTTCTGCAGGACAAATATACGAATGGAGGGGAGAGGGACTGGGATTTGACATTTTTTGTGAAAATCTGGCTAATTTTGTGAAAAAAAATGCTGTCACGAAGGTACGTGTTTTTAGGGTCCACCTGTGCAGATTTCTGCTACAAATCACGCATTTTAATATAGTAGAGTACCTACCAGCTGTCCGCGCAGGGGAAAAACATTAGAGACATCACGTTCTTGACCCCTGTAGAATAGTCTAAGCCTCAAGATTTGAATTTTCAGGTTCTCTACGTATTTCTAGCAATCGGAAAATTAACGGCCTCGCTCATTTTTCACACTTCTGCAGAATACAGTTGTGATGATACAGCAGAAATTCTAGGATTTTCACATATGGCAAGGTCTGTTCTCAAATTTTAAGCTTTACAAGAATCCTGAATTTCAGCCTGGAAAAATTCCATATCATCGACGATATCGATATACAACATGTGCTCATCTGTTTCACTGTTGCTCAGGTTCCTTTTTTGTTTTTGGGAAGAAATGTGACTAAAATCATTTTCATTGAAAAAAAAATTACAGATATTTCGAGAAACTGTCCAGAAAAAGTATCTGGGTGTCTTGAAGGAACTTGACTGGAAAACCCTAGCCCCTAGCTAGGCCATCCTCAAGCACCAGCTCATTTGCTTTTCTCGGCAGAGAAACTGAACTTTACACTCTCGCCCAGTACCGTACGCGGATCGATTGGCGCCCTTAAGTACGGTACCGGGCCATAGTTTGAAGTCGAATTTCTCAGCAGCGAATAAATTATATGAGATGCCACTTGGCAGTTGGCTTAGTCAAGGCCTTTTATTATTATACATGTAGTTAGAAGTTCACCATAGATTTGCCTGATCACTATCTTTACCTCATCAAAAAAACAAGAATTTTTCTAAATAATAGAACTAAAAATTCAAATTATTTACAATCTTAATGCAAATTACAGTTACCCATTGTTTACCTCCTATATACAACTAAAACGGAAGTTGAACCAACAATTCACCAAAGACCTCGCGCTGATTATGAGGACATTGATCACGGCGAGTTACTGTACTTTGACAATTATTCAAAAAAAAAATCCCCGTTTCAGGCGCTAATCAGGAAACGCACGCGCTCAAACTCGTCCTTTTATGTGCAGTAGTGGGCTGTATCGCTACCGTAATCCATAGTCTATTTCCCTTTTTACTGTTGGCGCATGAGGGTGGAGCTATGGAGTACCAAATATTTTTGGTAATAATCAAAATCATCCTTACTTTCTACTAATCTGATAGATATTCAGGCAGCTATGGTGCTCGGCCGACTTGTAGCAGTTCTACTAGCAGATGAAGTCGCATCATATTTTTACATGGGAATCAGCATCGTGAGTGGCTGACTCCGCCCACGGTCAACTGACCAATCAGAGAATTGATTCAGATTGGCTGCGGAGCTGCTTGTTGTGCTTTCACATTTGATAAGGGCTTATGGCCTGGGTCCGCATTATTTGGATTTTTCCTATCGACTATTCTACCATCAATGATCGCGTATATAAGGCATACATTATCGTTGCCAGGTAAGAGACAAGTGGGCGTGGCTCGTCACAGTTGTTAATTTTTCAGCTGAGCGAATTTTTGCTTTGATGTCTGGGTCTTCCATGGGACATGTGATCTACCCACTATTCTTGACGCTAGCAAACTCTAGTGAAAGTCGAATATTCATAGCTATTGATTTTTTCGCTATTTTGTTACTGGTACTCCTCTACGTCTCTATTCTGAATGTGCAAGCGCAGACAGAGAGAACAGGAGGTGAGTCGTGCAAAAGAACGGGTGGTCCTGCGCGGAAAATTGTGGGCGTATTCTGTACTTTGAAATGGGAGACATGTGCGAATTTACCCCGTAAGAAGGTTAGGTTGTAATTTACCGAAAAAACACGTCAAAAATTCCTTTCCCTTCAAGTTTTTTTCATCACTGTTCCATTTCCCCTTTTTAAAATTTGAGGATATAATTTTTAAACAATTTCAGCCTCCCAAGACTCGCTGAAAATCTTCATCGATCGATTTTTCTCTGGTGAAGCAATGCTGAAACGGACGAGATCGCTCCGACCTCTGATCTCCAGACTGAGACCAAACTCGTACAGACGTTTCCGGGGGCGGAACGTATCCGCTACCTCGCATTCATCTGACGTACCCAAAATAGAAGTCACACTTGAAAAGACGCCTCAAATACAGTACAACTGACACACAGCTGGAGACCCCGCCCACATCTTTCGTACGAGTTGTTATGACACATCGAATTCTTTATTTCGATGCCTTGTGATCAATACTGCATATTCACAACACGCACACACCACATGAGCAAGCAGTAACAGATGGACCCTGTATAGGAATGTCGAAAGAATCAATCAATAAATCGATATTAATTCGACTTCGTGTGCGTCAGTCGAGCAATGTTTTCAAGTTGTTTCAGATTCAGTGCATAACCATCGAAATAGTCGTTGACGAGGTAGGGAAGATTATTTTCGCGGCAGAACTCCTTTACCAGCTTCATGCAAGTGTTCAAATTGCATCTTGGCATGGTTGGGAAAAGGTGATGTTCGATCTGGAAATTGTCAAAAAGTAGCAAATAAAAATCCGAAAAATTTGCCTGAAAACTAGGCAAAAAAGGTGATGGCTCTTATTAGCCGCTAAAGTACAGTATACTATCGTAACAACTGCTATGGGACCGTATTCTATCACATTATGTAAGGACTCAACGACTACCCAAAAACCTATCTAAAAAACATTTTTGCACTGCTCTTCTTCAACAACCAATACAGTACGCTACAGTAACCTATCACAATGTGCGCGGGATTCAAAAAGTTTGTCGCAGTATTCTTGCCAGAGTTTTCGGAAAAAAATCCGTTCAAAACATCTCTATAGCTGGTGGCCCTTATGCGCCACTACAGTACACTACCGTGACACACTGTTATGGCATGTTATAGTAACCCATAATCATGTGTAAGCAAATCAACCATATGTTCTTGTCAAAGAGTAACAGTTGGAAGTAATTCTGAAAATCCATCAAAATCCCCATAAAGCAAATTGCCTTATGCGCCACTACACTGCATCGTCGTAACGCACTGCTACGGTATGCTACCGTAACCCATCACAATGCAAGGAAACTATGTATAGCAGTGTTCTTACCAAGATTGTAGGTAACGGGTATTGGTAGCATACGATATTGTACTGTTGTGGTGCATAAGATTGGGAGAATTGATTGGGAAAAATCATTTGGAATTAAATCATTTGGAAAACGAAATTTCAAGATTAATTTTTTTCAAAGAGCGGATAACCCTTATCCGCCGCCAAAGCACACGACCGTAACCCACTGTTACAGCATCCGTAACCCACCGGAAGTGTAAGGAATTTAAAAGTGCCACAGACAAAATACAAACTATATATTTTGAAATGTTAACGGAAATAGCTCTGCTGCCATTTCCTATCACACTTCAAGAGCTGCGCAATAGCTATAGTAGTATACGGTATGTGTGCAAAATTGCACAATTTTTCTAATTCAAACTTTAGTCGTTGTGAACTTTGTCATTGAAACGACAGCAGCAACATACAGTACCGAAGTAGAGGAGAAAAAACCTCTCTAACCATGTGCGCCATCCCTTAACTAAGTCGTATTATCTGCCCAACGGCGAAGAAAGGGGGGGGGGGAATGAATTCTTGACTGACAGATGTGGAGGAGTAATACTTGATAGATGTATTACTGTGGGGTGGGGAGGGGGTGAGGAGGATAAAATCTTTACCTGATAGTTGAGTCCACCCCAAAGCCAATCCGTGAGTGGTCCTGGTGTCATATTCCGGGTGGTGAAAATTTGTAAACACGCGAAATTGTTGAGTAGGCGCGAATTTGCTAGACAAGATATGGTTGAGTCAAAAAATCGACATATTGATTGCACATACCTGGAAATTTGTCAACCGAGTTATGACTGAATGTCACGACGTAAGCTATTAGAGTAGCTGACAATAATTGTGACACACAGAAATACATTACTCGAGTACTCATAGTAGGTAGCAAGTACAGCTGGAACAGTACCCAAACCCAATGAGCCACCAGAAAAGTCTGAAAATGGTATGGTAACATTCTGCCGAAATTTGCACCGTAAATATATAGTACCTGTTCCATAAGTGCATTTCTGCGATAAACACGATACTCGCTGGAATTTTCAGCAAAAACCCATATCAACGATTGGCTGGTCCATGAAAATCGAAGCAAAGGCAGCGAAAGAGTAAAGTAGAGGTGTTGATAGGGGACAAGCTGTAATAGGGTTATTTTACAACGACTAGGTTTATTTAAATAGTGCTAATAGACCTACCTTCAAGATGAACTTTTCTACGGGCAATTTATACTTGGATAAATCAGCAGGAATGAAAGCGAAAAGTGGCGCCAAGTTGATGTCACCGTCATGGTCGATGAGATTTGTGGCCGCGTGATGAGTATTGTGCTGAAATTTTTTTTATTCATTTGCAAATTTCGAACGATAAATGGGTCATTATTGAGGCGAATCACAAGGGACGCAACGTTTGTGCTAGCTACGGTAGTACTGTTACGGTATCGAAAAAGAAGGTATGTGCAGGATACGGTACTACTACGGTAGTCTCACAAAAAAAAAATCTTGCGGTTTCTATCGCTTCAATTGAAAAGGAGTGTGTACCTCTCCTTCGTATGGTATCATTAGGTAATTTTGATAAAACGCCCTTGTACTGAGTACGATACTATTGCTTACTTCAAGAAATAGTCCTAGTGCTGAGCACTACACCATTACGGTAATTTCGAAAAAGGACTTTCGTCACGAGGCTATAACGATGAATTAAAAAAGGCTTTTGGATGAATATGGTGCTATCATTTTTGAGAAAAAGGCTTTGTGCTGAGTACAGTACGATTACGATAATACTGAAACAACTTCGTGCTGAAATACGGTGCGATTATATTGTGTTCGAGAGAGATTCTCAACGCTGGGTACGGTACTGACACGGTAATTCGAAAAAGGTTTTCTATTGAGTGGATACGCGATTGTGGTAAAATCGGAAAACTTTGTGCTAGCTACTACGCCTACTCTGTGCTTATTATTACCGTATTGAATGCTGTGTACGGTATCAATACGGTAATCGAAAAGAAGCTTTTGCCAAGTACGATATGATCACGGTATTGAAAAAAAAAAACATTGTGCTGGGTGCGATTACGAGAATTGCTTTCGAAGAGAGACTCTTCCGACTGAGTGGATACAGTAATATTAAGGTGACAACAAAAAAGCTTAGGTATGTATTTTTAAGCTAGGTACGGTACTATTACGATAGTTGCAAAAAGGCCTTGTTCTAGGTCCATCATCTAAATTTTGAAATAAGGGTTTCGCATTACTTACAGTACTTTTACTTTATTCGAAAGCTTTTTGCTGTCATGGTACGATTGCGGTAGTTCAAAATTGTGACAGAATTGATACAAAACTGTTCAGCCAATGAGAGCATGACTAACCTTGTCTTTCCACCAATCAGCAGAGAATCCTTGTGCGAGATTTCCAAACACTAATGAGATCATATCGTTTAGTTTCCTATTCTTAGTTGGTTGATGATGACAAAATTCATGAGTTAACCATCCGAACTGTTGCCATGAGATGGCAAGTGAAATAGCAGATGTGAAATACCTTAAAATCGGCAATTTTGTCATGAAGCGAGAACTGGTCCCCAAGGATAAAATCTGCGAGAACGGATCCGTAATAAGGAAAAACGACGAGGACTGACTTCGAATTATTTAGAAAAGTAAAAATATGAAATTTAGAAAATGGCGAAAACTGGTCCCCAAAGTAAAAAAACAACTAACCATCCGCAATATTGCAAGTAAAAAGCAAGTAACATAAATCCTAATGTGGTAGCAGATTTCATGACATAGTACCACGGTTGCGCTTCCATCAAACCCCAATCGATGACTCGCTGTCGTAATCGCTCGAAACTCTCTACGATTTTCTTTTCCTGGAATTTCGGCAGTTAGGGGTAAGACAGAGAAATTCAGTAGGATAAGAAAAAGGGTTGCGCCTTACCTCTTCGATGGAAATGTCATAAGTAGAGATGTTTACGTCAGCTTTGTCCAACCTTAGCTTTAGGGATTCTTCGAGATCTTCGGACGGGTCCCATGCATTCTTTTTTAGAACCTGCAAATACGCAATTGTAGGTGGTTTTTCAAAAATTCAAGCCTGTTTTCTGCTACTTCCAGCTTCCCCCCCCCCTCCCTAACAAAATAGTTATTTATGGCAGTAAGTTGCTAAGCAAGCCTGCTCGACTGCAAAAGCGGTGTCTAAACAAATCCAAGTGCATAATTTTTCTGTTCCCAAAAAGAACCCATATAATTCTTTTTCATTAGAATTCAAATCTAGGCTCTCACCCAGACCGTACTCAAAGAAGCTATTGCGAATGAGAGTGTACGGTATTGGGAGAGGGTTTGAAATTGAAAATTTCTTGAGCAATAAATTCTGTGAGAGGACCCCTTCCAGTCGTATCCTCATAAAAAATAACCATGATATCCATTTTTGCCTACACACCGCCTTCATCTTACAAAAATACTCGGAACGACTTTAAAGTGAAATAAAAACCATTTTTAAGTACGATCCCAAAAGAAGGGATAATATGACTAAAGAATGAATTGCCGCAAACGTACCTCTAGTTGTTTATAAGCTTTCCGAGAACCTTCATGAAAAGCATGGAACATATGTGTGGCATCGGCACTTCTGTAATAAATTCTCACTACTACCATCTTTTTGAAAAATGCAAAAACTTACGCATATTGTCGGATTACGGCACCTCCTGGATGATTTTGGATAGTTTCCTCATTTATGTGCAGCCATTTTCCATCGATCTAGAAGTCGGTATAGAAAGGTAAAGCAAAAAGAATAGCGAATTAAAATAATAGGTGATGAGTAAGAAAATAATGTACTAACAAACATTTGAGAAAAAAATGAATATGAGGAAAGAATTGAAAATTATAAGACCATATCGGAATTTCTGGAATTTTGAAAATGTAAATTTTAAACTAATCCAGTCTTCTATTGAGAAACTGATCTATACAATGTTTGCCATTCTTATCCCTTTTCAAAAACAGATTTCAATGCATGTGCTGGCATTAATCCATTCTCTCTCCCCCCCCCCCCCCTCCCGCTACTCCTTCCCCAAACACGAAAAATCGCACTTTTCTTTGTTCTCAGTTGCAACTTTATAAAGTGCCATCTCCGATCGTGGTCACACGATAAGGATGTCCACGCTATCTCCGCTTGGAAACGTGCAAAACGAAAGGCTAACCAGTAAGGTGTCGCACTTGAAGCCTTATTTACCGCTTCCCAATCTTATGAGGAAAAAATTAGAAATAGCTCTAGAATTATTGGATTTTCCTAGGTTGGAAAGAAAGTTCTCGACCTTGCATTCAAAAAGAGTTTTTTTCTCAACGCAGTAACTGGGCATGGTGCATATCGCTGGATAGAGAAAAGCAATCTCTACAGAACTGGTGGGCGCAAGCATTACCAATGTTCCTGTAAAAAATCAAGCGAAAATTCTGAAACTGAGGATTTTGACCACCTAGAATCTCCCATTTCTATAAGCATTATGAAATATCCACATGCTCCAATTAATAGTATACACATGCTTACATATTTATATGCGCTGCTTGTGAGCGGTATGAGCTTGAACAACAAGAAAACTGAGGTAATTGAAAAGTGGCGAACTCCGCCCCCGCTACAGGCGGGTGTGAGTGTGGCACCAAGATGCACTCTTTACGAAAGTAAGAACTTATCTCGCGCTCTCACACCATTTCATCGAAAAAATTTTCTCTCCAGAGAAATTTCTGCTTATCCTTGGTACTCCTTTAGGAGTAACAAACTGTATGTAAGTCCAAGCTTTCTACACTGCGTCAAAAATAATGAGAATTGATTTCTAAGCAACAATTGGTCGGCTTCGACTTACAGCCATAGTCTAGAGCGTTTACTATTTGAAAAAGAAAAACTTGAGCGTTTACTATTTGAAAAAGAAAAACTTGAGGAGTAATTTGAATCTGATGTTGAGGCGTTACGCGTGAATTGAGCGCAACACTGTTTCCTAGAATTTATCCTTCATTAGGAAAATAAAAAAATACTTTGGAAAATTCTCGATTGCTGCTTGTGTAGAATTTTGATAACAGCTCCCAGATTTTGGTACGCTCGCAAACTTTCTAGAAATGAATCAGAAGAATTTTCACAAGCGTTAATACATTAATAGCATTACTACTTCTCAGGTGAGATGATAGTGCGAACGGTTTTAGTATGCCCTCAGGTTGTTACCGAAATTATTATATAGGTTAGGTCAACATAAATCTATATGATTGGTGTACAATCGATCAAGTTTCGCCTGCTTTTTATGAGAACGATTTTGGAAATAGGAGAAATTTGTTGGTTTGGAATTTGCACCATAGAAAAAAATAATATCATGAAACGAGAGTTCAAATCAACATCGGAGCAGCTAAGAACAAAGAATACAGCTACAATAGTCTTTTCAAACTTCTTTTTCTCTACCAAAGTCTAAAAGGTAACGAATAGTCGTTAAATAACAATCGACTACGAACTAAAAATTCAAAAACTTCATCCTAGTATATCTTCAAGAATAAGGTCAGAATTCCTAGAATTCTAACGCTTTGTCCCAAATGATCTCTGAATTCAGCGCGTGGTGCCTCTATTTGACTAAATTATTTGTTTAAGGACAACGTTGCACGTATCAGTCCTATGGAGATGATAATGAGAGAATGTGAACTTTTACACATAAAATGACCTTGAACAGTTATCAAGCGACAAAGTATCAACGAAAGGAAATGGAATGGTGTGGTGTAGGCGGAAATGACGAGAGAATTTCTATATATTGCAAAATTAGTGATAACTGAGCAATTTGATCTACACTTGTGGATCAAATTGTTTGATGTGATGTACATAAAATAAATATTGATTAGTAAATATTGAATAATTTCGTAGTAACTCACTTTCATACGAAGCCCTGCCGCTTTTGGTGGACCGGCCATCGTTGGCGGTGCGCGCTAAATGTAAGTGGAATCGGAGCGAATTGCCCGGTCTCGCTGGGTCCGAGAATGACGCGCAGAGAGTGGCGTGAGTGGAGGGTGCCAGAGATATTAGGCGGAGGGGGGGGGGGGGGACAAAGTGCTTCTAGCTGAAATGAGCAATTATAATCGAAGGAGGTTCCTGAGCAAGAGAATTCAGCAGTGTTAGTTCGAAAAAATTTTTCTAGGCTGCCTCAAAAGTTTAGCGCTAAAATTTTCGAGCACTAATAAAAAAATAATAATAATCTCCTATTAAAAACGAATTCGTTCATTTTTATACAAAAGCGAATTAATAAAGCATTAAGTTAGCTATAAGTCCAAGCCGAAACATATATACGTCGTCCTTTCTTTTTGAAATTTTGGTTTCTACTAGGTCGTAACAAAAGTTTTATTACACACGAGGAAAAAAACTTTCATAACTTTCTCAAAAGATTTTTTGTCACCTCCAAAATGAGTTGATGGTTGTATCTCCTTAATGAATAAATGTCACACATGGAAAATCCAATTGAATTTTACTTTTTCAGAATTATTTTTGGCAAATTTCCAACTTGGGTTATTGAAGAGCCTAGACATCCAAACGATTCCATAATGGTAATAAAGGGACGTCAGGCAGGAGGCAGCAAGGGCTAGCCGCCTTTGCTTCTGGAAGTGCCTGGGGAGCTGCAGACATCCTCGCGCCTATAATCACTCTTCGCACCTTTGATTACTTTACAAGCAAGAGGATCAAACGAAAATCTTCTTGAAAAGTAATTTACTCTGGATGAATTTGGAACTCTTGCAATTTTATCCAGTCTCAGCCATAATAAGTTTCAGCTTAGAGAAATATCGGGTTTAGGGCGATTTTCTTTGAAATCCGTGCAGCAGAAAGGAGTAAGTCTGCCATAAAATAAAAGACTTATGTTAGCAGTCTTCAAAATCCTTGCCTTCAATTGGATAAAATGACAAAAAATCACAAGAATTAGTTCAAGAATCCGACTTGAAGATTTGATAGATCAAGTTATGCGTCCAAACCAACTCAAGAATCTGATATTTTTATAGCGCCTTTGAAGTTGAATTAGGCTAATCTCTACATTTGCTATGAAGTTTAAACATAAAATCTATACTGGTATTTGCCATGCTTGAAAGTTTACGAACAATCGGACACAGGTCATATCATACGACTAAAGGTGCGAAGAAGTAATTAGAGGCGCGAGGAAGTCTGAAGGTCCTCAGGTACTTCCATAAGCAGAAGCGGCAAGCCTTTGCTGCCTCCTGCCCGACCGCCGTAATAAAGTCCTCAGAAATCCATCAAAAATCTGAGGGCATAAAAAATAAGAATCAGAGAATTTCAAGAGGAAAAAGAAAAATTGGAGATTCAAGTGCAGTCATGAAATTGACTTCATTTTTACTGTAATAGATATTTGTAAAAGTAGAAATGATGCCGGTGGATAGTCCTTTGTCCACTGGTTATATGTGCCAAATGTTAGAGTTTGCTGAAGCTTCTAGAGATTTTTTAGAGGAAAGTGGAAAGTGTTGCAAAGCTTATGTTACGACCTAATACATATCGAAGTGTCGAATAAAATTTGAATCAGGTTGCTTTGGCTTTGAAACCCAACTCTCCCCAACTAAAAGAATAATTCTAGCTCATCAAGTAATTCAGAGTATAAATTACTCGAGCGTTTTGTCTGAGTCATAAATCAGATTCGCTATTTTGGCATTTTTCATGGAAATCATAACTTTTCATAGAGACGCTCAATCGGCGCAAACTTTGCACTTTTAGGAAGAGCTGGTGAAGGAACCAACAATACTGACTGCTCCGATTTTTGTCGCAAGTTTCCGATTTTTTATGACCCTACACAGAAAATTCGAATTTTGACTAATCTTCTCCCATTGCTCCTATCTGTGCAATAGATGAAAAGTAGTAAGCAACTAAGATGTTTTCATAAAGAGCATGACTTACTCTTTCATACAAAAATAAAAGCAGTCAAATCGTTTGGAAAAATCAGAAGTTATGAATTTTTGAATATGGTGCGACAAAACTTTCGGGCCAACCTATTATAATATATAGCATAAACTCACAGAATAATTTGGGCAGTCTACAGGAGTTTCTTAGATAATATAACTGTATAGGTTATTTTTTTTTGAAAATTGTCTACTTCTGAGAACTTTTGGTCCACCTACGTGCCTATCTGAGGTCGTGCTCCTGAACAATTGTCCCTTCGAATTACAGAAGGAAAGAGAGCCAGATTTTGAAACATGTGCAAAATTACGTCGTCGAAGTGAGTTAAACAAACTTTGGTATTAAATGATGAGCACAAAAAATAAATGTTAACTTTTCTGAGATTTTCAAAATAATTTCTTAGATTTATACATAATTTCGGAGAAGACTCAACAATATCAATACGGTTTGATTTGGTGAAAATCTAAAGCATTGCTTCTAATTTCCAAAACATTACTTTTAATTTCACGGCCGTTGTAATTTTTTATACTGTAGTAGAGTATATATATGCACTCGCAACTTTGCTTTTGTGCTTATTTGGTACAGCTTAAAAGAGTCTTAATGCAGAGTAAATGATTCAAAGGAAAAAAGGAGAACAGCATAAGTATGATTCTAAGCGTTTTTTCAGAAAATATCAATACGCAGAAATTCCGAAATACGCTCGATAATTTCAACATAATGTTTTACCAATTCCTATACTTCCTATTACCTTATAATTTCTTCCTAATTCCTATTACTATATAAGCTACACATTTAACCGTTTCGGATACATCTTTCAAGATATAATCTGAGGTACAATATATGATATCAAAAGAACAACCATATAAAACAATGGCCACACTAGACAATGGGCCAGAAACAATCGATGACCTGGAGTCGTGCCCTTGTGGGGCGAATTGGAGCCATCTGCTGTTTTCTCGATTTGCGCAAGTACAAATCTCAGAATTTTATCAGGTTGTCCCAAAGCAAACTCCTTTTCTACATAAATCAAACTGTTTTTGATTTTCTAGCAGATTTAGGGTAACATTAGAGAGAGCGAAGCAAGCTCTACAAAATAGCTATCAAAGATCCGCCTAAGTCGTAATGGTAAAGTCTCGTGCCAAAATGAAAAAATTTGTCACCTGAAAACTGAATTTTGACAGCGAAAAAACCCTACGGACCTCAAACTTGGCCATTATACAGCAGACACATAGTAGTACTCAAATGTAGCTTTACCGGATTTTCTTCGCGCTTAAAAAGCGAGAAAAAATATCCAGGAATGGCAAACTCCACCCCGTCCCCTCTCGCATATGTCATTGTATACTACAAACCTTAGTTAGTATAACCATAAAATTTTATCTTTGTTTGTGTTTCGCTAATCGAGAAATACCAAGTCCAACATAAAAAACAAAAGAAGTGACATTTTTGCATTTTCGAGCCATTTCGATTCGCAAATCTGAGCCCCGTGAAAAATCCACAAATACATTTTCGGTTACTACTGGGTGTCTACTGTATAATAACCAAGTTGGAGGTACGTAGGAATTTTCTGGAAGGAGATCCGATTTTTAGGGTGCCTGAAAATTTTCAATTTTTGGCACCAAATTTTACCTTACGATCTAGGCGGATCTTTGGTAGTCATTCTGTAGAGCTTGCTCTACTCTATCAAGTGGTACCGTAAGTCTGCTAGGAAGACAAAACCTTTTATTGCAGGAAGGGTTCTTTTGAAACAACCTAATAAAATCCTCCAGCGCTGGCGTTCACATTTCCAAGCATGAATTATACATACAAGGTGTCCTAAAAATCTCCCTACTCTTTGATCTGAGATATCTCTTTTATCCTGATGTTTTTCGCCAATTTTTAGGTACCATTAAGTGAAGCTGGGTTCAGTTCAGATTTGCTGAATAGAGCAAAGCCTGGATTGCTCTTCGCCATTTTGGGAAGGAACACGGTAGAAATTTCCAGCATATCGTTCCATTCCCTTGGTGAGAAGATTTGCAGCTTTTTTCGGAATCCTCATTTGAGTTAAGGTTTTTATTTATTTGCGCAAAACTTGTCCAAAGTTCACAACGAAATCATACAGTAGCGGAAAGCGACCACTGATTCGCTCTGCTATAGATCTAAGCCGAAGCCAGTTCCACTACATGTTATCAAGATGTGAAAGACATTAGGGGAAAGAAGACATTCCAAATCAAACAGTGTGGACATTTTTTTAATTAATAGTGAAAAGCTGAGCATAGGAGCTATTTACACAGATGTTAGGCAACCTACCAGGACCTTTTTAGTCGAATCGGTCTTTCCAGAAGACATCTACAGTTGTGACAGTGGAATGTGAAAAATTTCGGCGAATTCCCCGAATTCGCCGAATTCGCCAAATTCGCCGATGTCGCCGAATTCGCCGATGTCGCCAAATTCGCCGATGTCGCCGATGTCGCCGACTTTGTGTCTTTTCGTCATAACTCCCTTCGTTCTCAATGAATTTCGAATTTGAAGGCAGATTTGGATTTAGCTCGCCGAGACGAATCTTTTCATGTATTGAACTGCTGTAATCGGCTCGGTCACGGTAAGTACATGGTAGGAATCCGTTGCATCCTGTGGTGGTGTTTTCTAGAGTGTGTATTTCGGCGCATAATGTAGGCAAAGGTTTAAGAAAAAGAGCGTTTGATGGAAGAGTTTCTGCTGAGTGTTTCCAGCAGAAAACCATATCCTTTTTTGCAGTGGAAAAAAGAGAAAGGAGTACGTGAACTTAGTAAATATACATGAACCACTTACCGTCAAACAAACATAACTATACAGTAACACTATGATTAGCAAAACAATAATAATCTTTGTAATCAGCATGTCTTGTTGCTTATGTAAGCAAAGTGACACACCGCATGACTATGATATTCTGCTTCCAGCAAAACTTCACTTTTTTCTGCAGACGCCTCTTTGCAACGCTGTAGGCCAGCCCCTTTCACACTTAAAAGATTCGAGTAAGGCGAATCGGAAAGAGTTGTTTCCGTAGATAATCCAGCGGTGAAAAGTAGACGGAGACATGCTTTATAAAGCGCGAAAAGAGATGGTGAATTCTGCAAAAATCACGCGCCTTTAAATTCTACTCGCCATAACTTCCTCCAGAATAAGT